TAGGTAGACTGTTAGGTTAGGGTTAATGTGCTTAATAATGTGTCTTACAGTCAGTTAAATATCTGTTGAAGGCACAATATCAGCAGACATTAAGCAGACGGTCTACTAACACTCAAATGGACCAACAAAATAAAATGTTATCCAATAATAGTGTAGATATTCAGTTTCTCTAGATTTTTCTCTGGTAAAAAAGTTAAACTGAATAAAAATTCATGGATCGCAATAGCGTGATTAGTATTAAAATGTACTTTAATAATTTTGGTGCTTAACACCTTTGGTTTCATAATACGATCCAAGATAAAATTTCCTTGCAAAATGATTTCTCTATTTAACAACAATACAGTAGGTCAGTAGGGAAAGATCACTTCGCTTTGGTCTGATTGTGTTTTCTTGCACAGATGTTGGACTCATGAAAAATAATAGTTTGCAATGGACATAAACTGATTAGCTGAAGTCACAACAGCCGATAGAGGATCCCATTTGGTCCTAAAGCCTTCTTCGATGGGTTTGTTACACTATTTATGATGGCATTCATTCATTTTCTTTTCAGCTTAGTCCCTTTATAAACCAGGGGTCGCCACAGCGGAATGAACCGCCAATTTATCCAGCATATGTTTTACGCAGCGGATGCCCGTCCAGCTGCAACCCAACACTTGGAAACACTGCTGCACACTGGTGGTGGTGTGGAGAGACCCTCTCATGATTGTAAAGTGCATTGAGTTTATGGCCATACATGATACATCCACTATAAAAATGAACATGACTGACTGACTTACTGTTGGAGGAAAAAGGAGAACCTGGGGGAAACCCACACAAGCGTGGGGAGAACATGTTAACTCCGCACAGACATGTTAACTGGCCTGGTAAGGACTTGTACCAGTGACATTCTTGCTGTGAGGCAACAGTGCTAACCACTGAGCTGCCGTGCCGACTTATTAAGAAAAAGGGAGGAGGAATAGGAGTGGAAAGGATGAATTCTTCAAGACTAAGACGACTGAGGTAAGAAACTCTGGTTATTTATAGTGAGTTAGGAATGATCAGATTGATGAATCGTGTGTTAGCTAATGCAGGACCAGCTGTGATCAATCATAAGCACGTGATCCTCTCCAAATTCACATAGTTGAAATTTAACAGGGAGATTATAACCTTTGACTTAAACTACAGTAGTCAACATTTGAAGTGGATCAAACATGTGTCCTAAGACAACTTTGATGAAAGTTTTGATCCACTTTAAATGTTGACTACTGTGCATACACTCACCGGCCACTTTATTAGGTACACCTGTCCAACTGCTTGTTAACGCAAATTTCTAATCAGCCAATAATATGGCAGCAACTAAGTGCATTTAGGCATGTAGACATGGTCAAGAAAATCTGCTGCAGTGGGCTCAGCTGGGCTCATTAGTACAAATTGAGCATTGTGTCAACGCCACAGCCTACCTGAGTATTGTTGCTGACCATGTCCATCCCTTTATGAGCACAGTGTCTCCATCTTCTGATGGCTACTTCCAGCAGGATAACGCACCATGTCATAAAGCGTGAATCAACTCAGACTGGTTTCTTGAACATGACGATGTGTTCACTGTACTCAAATGGCCTCCACAGTCACCATATCTCAATCCAATAGAGCTCCTTTGGGATGTGGTGGAATGGGAGATTGGCATCATGGATGTGCAGCCGACAAATCTGCAGCAACTGTGTGATGCTATCATGTCACTATGGAGCAAAATCTCTGAGAAATATTTTCAGTTCCTTGTTGAATCTACTCCATGAAGGATTAAGGCAGTTCTGAAGGCAAAAGGGGGTCCCAATGCTGGTACTAGTAAGGTGTACCTAATAAAGTGGCCGGTAAGTGTATATTCGCCTTTTCCACTTCAGCACAGGTATCACAGCATATGAAAGACTGTAAACTCCTGATTTAGCAGCTCTTCTGTGGCACTGCTGCACAAAAAAAACAACAACATTTCTATCATTTAGTAATAACATCGTACAGAAAGAAAACAAGTGCAATCATCAACAATCAAAATTTCATGAATATATTTATATTATATATAGGTGACAATTTATTACATATTTCATAAATACAAAAAAACAAATCGGAAATAAATGTCCCAGCCAGGCCTTGGTGAACAGATCAATCTTAAATTACACAAACCAATGATAACAATACGCTTTATGATACTTCAGTCAAACAAACCCACACAGGTTTCTTCACAAACTCACACAAAATAACATCCATGTGTTTTTCTCAGGGAACTGTGAACATGACAATACTGTGCACGATAATTAAAAGAGAAATGTAGACGGTTAAAGCATGGGAAACTTTCAGAAACAAACAAACACGTGACTCTGTAAACAGCAGATGAATTTTCAGTGACGGCTTCAGTTAAACTCATATGCTTGATATTTCAGAAATGAATGCGGACAGAAGTTGTAGTGGGGAACAAAAGCCGAAAGCATTCCCTTTCTGGTAAACACTAAAATGTAAGACAAGATCATTCAGTTATTGTAATGTAAGACTGAAAGCAAATACAAATGACAGGAAAAACATGCATTAAAAAAGGCCAAGATTTGTCGACAGGTAGACACTCGTTTTATTCAATTCAATCATTTTTCCTCCACATTTAAGGCTCATTGACATTTAAGACTTGAAGAGCGTCTGATTCTTCTTTTTTAAACTAATAAATATTTGACTTTGAATAGAAATCAGGTTGTTTTTGTAACCCAAATGTGAATTAAAGCGCTAGTGATTTAATCAGGAGGGTCCTTACGGAAGCTTCTTTCTGCCACAGAATAAAAAGACAAAAAAGTAATGGCATTTTCTAAAATCTCAAAGCATAAATGTCAGAATTATGAGAAATGTATTTAAAAATAAATGTGAAAAAACACTTAAATGTGCAATTTAAACCATATTTTTCCCAGAAAATGTCTCAGAGTTGTGAGTTTTTCAGAATTTAGAGAAATTATATGAACTGCAAATGCAAGAAACAGCTATAATTGATGATATAATAAATAAATAAATAAATATATAATTTTTCCCCTCACGATTCTGAAAAAAAAGTCTAAACTGTGAGATATAAACCAAAATACTGATAAACTTCCACAATTTCTGGGATAAAAATTAAATTGAGTAAATATAAAGATCATTTTATTTTATTTTTCACCTCACGATTCTGAGAAATAAAGTCTGAATTGCGAGATATAAATAGAAAAAATGCTGAGGAACTCACCAGATACAAAAAAACAAATAAATGTCTTCGTTTGTGTCCTACAATTTTCCAATTTCTGTGATAAAAAATATATATATATGTGTATGTGTGTGTATATATATATATATATATATATATATATATATATATATATATATATATATATATATATATATATATATATATATAATTATTATTTTCACAGTTCTGGGAAAAAAGTGCATATATTTTTGCTAAATTTGGAGAATTGCAAGATACAAACGGAGACTGTGATTTGCATCTGGTGAGTCTGTTAGCATTATTTTCCGTTTAAATCTCACAATTCAGACTTTTTTCTCAGAATCGTAAGTGTAAAAATAAAATAAAATAATATATAATACTATATATATATAAAATTATATATATATATATATATATATATATATATATATATATATATATATATATATATTTTTATAATTATTTTTTTTACTAATTTTAATGTTTATCCTAGAAATTGGAAATTGCAGGATACAAAAGCAGACATTTTTTATTTTATTTTTTTATTGCATCTGGTGAGTTTGATGAGTTTATCAGCATTTTTTGGTTTACAGTAAATCTCACAATTCAGACTTTTTTCTCAGAACTGAGAGGGGAAAAATTATATAGATATATCATTATTATCACAGAAATTGGAAAATTGCAGGACACAAACGATTTATTTTTTTGCATCTGGTGAGTTTCTCAGCATTGTTTCCCTTTATATCTCACAATTCAGACTTTATTTCTCAGAATCGTGAGGTGAAAAATAAAATAAAATGATCTTTATATTTACTCAATTTAATTTTTATCCCAGAAATTTGAGAATTGCGCGATACAAATGCAGGTTTCTAATTTATTTACTTGCATCTGGTGAGTTTGTCAGCATTTTTTTTTTTATATCTCACAATTCTGACTTTTTTCTTAGAACTGTGAGGGGAAAAATAAAATAACATTATATATATATTTACTAAGCAGAATTACATTTTTAGTTTCTATGCCAGAAATTGGAAAATTACTAATCCAAATTCTGACGTCTATTTTTTTGTTTGCATCTGGTGAGTTTGGCAGAATTTTTTTTTATGTATATCTCACGATTCAGACTTTTTTCTCAGAATCGTGAGGAGAAAAATATAATAAAATTATAAAATGATACATATTTACTTTGCACAGTAACCTTTTTCATTTTTATCCCTGAAATTAGAGAATTGCAAGATACAAACGCCGACATTTATTTTCAGCATTTCTTCCATTTATATCTCACAATTCAGACTTTATTTCTCAGAATCGTGAGGGGAAAAATAAAATAATCTTTACATTTACAATTTATAATTTTTATCCTAGAAATTGGAAAATTGCAAGATACAAACACAGATTTTTATTTTATTTTTTTTTGCATGTGGTGAGTTTGTCAGCATTTATATCTCACAATTCAGACTTTTTCCCTCAATATCGTGAGGGGAAAAAATAAAATGATATATAGTATATATTTACTCATTTTATTTTCAACCTAGAAATTGGAGAATTACAAGATACAAATACAGACATTTATTTATTTTTGTTTGTACCTGGTAAGTATCAGCCTTTTCTGGTTTATACCTCACAATTCTTTTTTCTCAGAGCCATGAGGGGAAAAATTCTATAATTATAATATTTTTATCCCAGAAATGAGAGAATTGCAAGATCCAAACAGCCTTTTCTTAGTGCATCTGGTGATTTCGTCAGCATTTCTCACAGTTCAGACGTTTGTCTCAGAGAAAAAAATAAATCGATTCCCAATTACCTTTTTTTATTTGTATCCCGATGCAGAAACGTGCTCCTAGAGGTAGATCTGACAAAACGTTGAATCATATCTAGATCTCTGATGTTTCAGATAAAGTTTAACACAACATACAATACACAAAACTAAACAATACAGAAGATAAACACAATTATATTAATGATTAAGAACTTGACGTATTTTTCACTGGCGACTGGGACATTTGCGTCAGATGGAGCTGGAATAAAAACAATAAATATTACCATGACTTGAACCTCGTGTGACCTTTGACATTCACTGCACATCATCTCCAGGTCCTCCAGATCCTCTCAAGTGCATTTCATAAACGAAGACCAAGGAAACGTGGCTTTCATCCTTGTGGGAGAATAAATATATCAGCGTTCTGAAGGCATTACGTGCAGACATTCGTTACGTCACTCATGCACGAGTCTGGATTCAAAATACAGACGGTAGTGTGTTCAGATGATTTCAGTCTTCAACAGCAGGACTCATATTCTCAGGAGGGACGATAAGAGAAAGATCTGGGCCGACCAGATTGTAGCAGCTTTCAAAAATAATAATCACACATGGGGAAATGAGAAAAACACCAAGACAGAAACCAAGAATATCACAGGCCTGCGTTCGCTCGCTCCACATCCGTCCTGCAGGATACAGTAGCTTATAGCACAGCGTTAATGTTGTGCGTTCCCATGCCAACAGGGGGCGGAGACTGTGATGGTCATGGGCGGGGCTTGTGCATGCTGGCTCCTTCTCTCCTTCGGTGAATCAGCCTGCGGCGTAACTGCTGAGGAAAGAGTAAAACATGGGCAGCTTCATGCGCTGCTGGTCTCGCCGACACCACGCGATCACCGTGCCCTCACTGTTAGCCGTGTATAGATGATGACCGTCACATGAGAACGTCAGACTGAAAGACACAGGATAGAGAACGTCACAAAACATGCAATATACATTTATTTGATGATTTTAGGAGCTTTTAACATGTATTAAGAAAAATCACAAGCAAACATACAAAAATTGACTATAAATAAATAATGATAATATTAAAAATAAAATGACAAAAAAATTAACATATATATATTTATATAAATAAATGCAAGTACATACACATAGAATATAACAGGTACATTATAACAACGGTATATCAATAGCTGGGAGGTGTTGCACCGACTAGTCGACTAATGCTTTGCCGTGATGCTTTTTTTTTACATTTATTATTTTATTAAAGATTTTTATAATATATTATATTTATTATATTTTATCAAATATTACAAACAACAAAGACAATCAGACAAACAAACAAACCACACCCAAGCGCTGCAAATCAAATAAGCATTTACAAATGTAAGTTTAAAATAGAGAAATAATAATAAATAAATAAAAATACAAAATAGTCAAAATAAAACAGAAGAAGCCAGAGCTTTTTTAAAATAAAAATTTCAGAGTTTATGTAGAAAGGATTGAAGAGGTTCCCAAAGTCTCCTGAATTTGTCCAGCTTGTGGTTGAGGGCATAAGTTAATTTTTCCAAAGGAAGAAAGGCTGACAACTGAGAAATCCACATGGAAATAGTTAGAGTTTGAGAAGTAAACCACTTTAAAAAAAATTACATTTCTAAGCCAGAAATGTAAGAGTTGTAAACAGAGGTTTGAGCTCTGAGTCACAAAGGTCTTCTGGAATGTCATTCAACAAAAAAAGTTAGGGGGAGAAAATAAAATGTTTTCCAATTATCTCTTGGATTGCAGAATGAACCCCTCTCCAAAATGGTTGGATGTAGACACAGGACCAGAATACATGAAAAAATGTGCCCTTACAAGTTTTGCACTTAAAACAGAGATCGGAACAGGCTGGGAACATTTTATGCAGACGAACAGGTGTAAAATAAATTCTGTGAAATTTTGTTCATGTGTGGAAATTGAGGTACATTTTGGAAAAATACCTTCACAGATCTTGGACCAATCTTCAGGCTCAAACAGAACTCTCAGGTCCCGTTCCCATAGTGGTTTCAAGGAATCATAAACTGAGGAGCCGTGACGCTTTTTGATTGACGTCGACTAGTCGCACTGCAGAGATCACATGTTTTTTGACCTGATCTACAAGGCAGCATCACACACTAAGGTTGTTCACTGAATGAAACTGCCCTCAGATTATTTAAAGGCATTTTTAAAATATTATTTTTGCCTTTCGTGTGTTATGTTGTTATAAAATAACTTCACATGAATCTGTGTGCTGACGTTACAAGCATTACATCTGCACTAAAATATGTGTGTATTGTTACAATCTTACTAGAACGTGTAGTGATCAATGTGTTGACTGTATTTATTTAGTGGTAAAATTATTTTGGTAATGTCGCATTGTTTTCGCAACGTGTTATGAGCCGTCAAACAGCATGTGTACGTGTTTTCAACAAGTAACAAGTATATGAGCTCTTTTAATTAATCATTGCACAATGGACAACAAAATACAAAATACAGAACTCAGGGTGAATCAGTGCACCATTGCTTGCTATTGTAGCCTATTGCCAATGCCATGTGTTGTCTTTCTATTTGGGCTGTCAAATTTGCCTTTTTGCAAAGAATTGGATCCAGAATATGAAATGCTTTATGCTTAAAGAAATGCTTAAATTTATGTTGAATTCAAGACATTTTTCAAACTGTGGCTGAAATCTGAAATACTCGATAAAAAAAACAAAAACAGACAAAAGTAATAAAATATTTTAAATATTAGAGGAAACACATGTAAACCAATATACAGTCAAATCTATGGGGAGTATAGGACACTATTGACCTCCTCCATCCATGCTGGCACAGAACAACACAGATCTTCCACCATTGTTAATGTTTGCAGACTGATTACTAATTGAAGGTTTGTGTAAAGGAGTGTCAAACCGGTGCTTCGGTGAATTCATACTGATCATAGTAGTTTCTAATGGTTAGGAATAGATGGTTTCTGTTTGGCTATCATAGCTGAAACAATGGAGTTTGGACTGCTTAAAGGACATCCGTGTTAACTGTTTTGAAAAATGGCGGGGAAAATGTGTCAACCTAATGAGAAAGGGTTTACACATTTGCAAGACCTGTCCTCTGCTCTGCTGGGATAGTGATCATGAAAATGAAGTGGAACCTAGGTCAAAGCAAACAAGAAAAACTGTAATGTCTATGTATTAGAGCTAGCAGCCGGCTATTGAATACAATTGCTAAAAAGTGAAAGATGAATTACCAATTCTGATCTAAAATGAATGTTGTTTTTCTCAGCTTTATATTCATCAAATAATCCTCAAAAACGATATTTTACACAAAAATACTAAGCAGCAAATCAGAATGATTTCTGAAGGATCACGCAACACTGAATATAGGAGTACTATGCTGCAGATTTAGCGGTATAGCACAGGTATTAATCCATTTCTTATGATCAAATGCAGGAAATACTTGTGACCAAAAGAGGCAAAACCAAAAACATAATCATTGAGAACACTGGTGTACCTTATGATAGGTCTGTTGGACTTTGGGAACGTGATCTCTCTGACTGGCTTCAGGTCCCACGTGCTCCACAACCTGAGAATAGATCAAACGGAAACAAATAAACAACTCAATATCACACGGTTAAACCAAAGTAAACAAATAATTGCATATTGTTTCTTTCATTGCTAGCACAAGTTGATCAATAACTGTGATTTCCTTCACCTGACCACCCCGTTCTCCAGTCCGCCTGCGATCACATTGACTGAAACTCCCTCCGGCTGATTGGAGAAAGCCACTGAACAGATGATCTCACGACAGTGAACGTGACCAATCAGATCTCCATTAATGGTCCACAGCCGCAGGTCACTTCCTCCACCCACTGCACAGACAGGAAGTCATCGGCACAATTACTTTATACACTGTAATCGAGGCACTTTTAAGCAATTAAAATGATCCATGTGTACACATCTGTGGCCAAAACGCTGTATTGCTTATGATTCACTGATTCAAGAGTGAGCATTCAATAAATGATTCATTGATACAAAAGATCTGATCAGAGTGAGTCTTTAGTAAAAGATTCACCGATTCAAATGATATATTTAAAGTTAGTCTTCAAGAAATTCTCCGATTCAAATTGTCTGGTCAGAGTGAGTCTACAGTAAATGATTCTTTGAATTAAATGATTTGTTCAGAGTGAATTTCAGTAAATGATTCACAGATCCAAATAACCTGTACAAAGCGAGTCTTCAGTAAATGATTTATTGATTAAAAACATCTGATCAGAGTGAGTCTTCAGTAAATGATTCACTGATTCAAATGATTTATTCAGAGTTAGTCTTCAGGAAATGATTCTCTGATTCAAATTGTCTGGTCAGAGTGAGTCTACAGGAACTGATTCACTGGTTTAAAAAATCTGTTCAGAATGAGTCTCCAGTAAATTATTGACAGATTCAAATGATCGGTTTAGAGTGAGTATTCAGTAAACGATTCATTAATTCAAAAGATCTGTTCAGAGTGTATTTTAGTAAATGATTCACAGATCCAAATGATCTGTTCAGAGTGAGTGTTCAATAAATGATTCACTGATTAAAATTATCTGTTTAAAATGAGTCTCTAGTAATTATTTACTAATCAAAAAGTTCTGTTCAGAGTGAGTCTCCAGTAAATGATTCACTAATTCAAAATATCTGTTCAGAGTGAATTTCAGTAAATGATTCACAGATCCAAATAACCTGTTCAAAGTGAGTCTTCAGTAAATAATTCACTGATTCAAATTATATATTCAGAGTTAGTCTTCAGAAAATTATTCTCTGATTCAAATTGTCTGTTCAGAGTGAGTCTTCAATGAATAATTAACTGATTCAAAATATCTGTTTAGAGTGAGTCTCCAGTAAATTATTGACAGATTCAAAATATCTGTTCAGAGTGATTTTCAGTAAATGGTTCATTCATTCAAATGATCTGTCCAGAGTGAGTCTTCAAAAAATTATTCACTGATTCAAATTATCTGTTTAGAGTGAGTCTTCAGTAAAAGATTCATTGATTCAAAGGATCTGTTCAGAGTGAGTTTCAGTAAATGATTCACAGATCCAAATAATCTGTTCAGAGTAAGTCTCCAGTAAATGACTCATTGATTCAAATTATATGGTCAGGGTGATTTCAATCAAAAGATCTGTTCAAAGTGAGTCCTTAGAAAACAATTCATTGATTCAAAAGATCTGTACAGTGTGAGTCTCCAGTAAACTGATTCAAACTGTTTAGAGTGAGTCTCCAGTAAATGATTCACTGATTCAAAAGAACTATTCAGAGTAAGTCTCTAGTAAATAATTCACTTATTTGTACAAACTCATCTGAATGGTGTTCGTTGTGTGAATGTTGTTTTATATGTTTTCACTCAAGTGATTATAAATTATTAATGTGGTTATCAGCTTATGACAGGATTTGCTAAATAAATGGTTTTCAAATTCATCAGTAAGTACTTTTATAGTTTGACTCAAGTAACCCTGAATAAGCACTTTATACTTTTAAAGGAGCAATATTATATTAGGGTATCTGTACTTTCTTCTCAAGTGCCTGACTAAACAGCAGCTGTGGAGATGTGATGACACTGATGAGTACAGTATGTAGAATCTGCCTTGTAGTGTAAATCCACAATGTGCTGATAAAGTGTTAGCAAACACTTGACAACAACAGCACTAGCATGAACTCCGCCATTGTTGTGTCAGTTTGTGCTTTACACCTCCATAAACACATGTATTATCCACATGCATCACATAAGAGCTGTGATTTCAGTCCAAAGAACAGCACCTGAGTCGCAGACGGTGGCGATGTCTCCGGTGGTCTCGCTGGCTGACACCGCGTTCACTGGACTCTTGTGACCGCTGAGACTCTGTACGTAACACAACCTGGCACAACAAAACAACAGCAGTCTTTACACACTCACAGGATTCTCAGCACTGCAGGGTAAGTGAATACTGAAAGGAAGTGCTTTGCTTTTTCAGCATAACCATTACACTCGAAACATTTATATGTATTACTCATTTAAAACAAGCTGAGACGGCAAAAAATCTTGAGGATTTTTTTAGAGAACTTGATTGTTTTATGTTCAATCCACTTAAATTTGTAAAAAAAAAAAAAAAAAGTCTGTGAACTTAATTCATTCATGATGTCCCCGAAATTCTTAAATACAAAGAAAACATTTGGTGTGATTTACGTGCAATTTTCGCTAGTAATTACCACAAGTATTTAAAGGGGTGGTCCAGAGTGTACTTTTAAGGCTTGGTTGTGTTTATAAGAGGCAGAGCAATGTGTGCTCATGCTTCTTTTGTAGAAAATTATTTTATTTGTTCATATATCTTACTTTGAATATATACAGCTACTCAGCTAACATGAACACCACTGTCATATTTCCTTGTTTCTCCGAAAGCCCTCCCTCAAGAGGCTCTGATTGGTTGGCTAACATAATGTGCTGTTATTTGCGGATTGGCTCAGCGTCACTAGGAAAAGCATCACGCCTCTACTAGCACGCCTCTGCAGTGTAAATACTGTCAGTCCAGCAGTATCAGTTTGAGCCTGAATCAGACAGAAAAATGAAGGGCACACAGCTGAACCGCACACCTGCTCTCTAAAATAACATCTGACAAGTGTCTTTCATATATATTCGAGTTATAAGCATGTGTAAGTAATTTGTTTCCGTGTATTTTGCGAGTTGGTTATTTGAGATGTAGAACGCAGGGAAAGCGTCCGCATAGAGAGACACTGCAGCGCTGCTGAGGATAGTGGGAGTTTACAGAGGTTTGATGGATAAGTATGAACTTGTAGCTAAATTGTTAGCGGTGCCAAACAGCATTTCCTGTTATTTACATCCTTGTTTACGTCCTCGCTACAACATACTGTAAACGTTAGAAACTGTGCATGTAATAGATCAATTTTAACATATGAAAACACTTCCAGGTTGTGGCTCTCAATCCACAGCTCCTGCTATTCTGGTTGGAGCTGCTCCTTCTCCAAGGAGTTTTTAGCAAAATCCAGCACTGAACTGCGAGAGATTCTGGAAGCTGTTTTTTGTGAAATGCTAGAGCGATATCTTTTAACATATTTTAAAATAAACTGTAAGCACTTCTCTCTTTGTGTCATGTCTTTGGAAGCCCAAATAAATAAACAGAGAAAGCTCTGTGAAAATAGCAGCATTTATGCCATTTTAGCTTTCTCTGCTAAACCATTACAGCACCTCTGGCCACACCCCTTCGCTGTGCAGGTGTGTGCGCATGGTGAATGCGCATAACCTGAAGCTTTTGTGATCTCACTAGCCCAGATTTATTTTATAGTATTCCCCCAACTTTGTTTGCTGTAGGCTTTGCTAAGCAAACTCTGTAAAAGCCAATGTCTCCCTTTGCATTAATCTTTGCGATCCAATCCCAGTTCTACCCCTTAGCCTTTTCCCTCACCCCTACCCCTCATTTGTTGTGTTCACGTGAAGAAGTACGGATTTCCCAATTCTCTTTAGCTTGATGACGTAGGGCTAAGGGGAAGGGGTAAATACCCCTTGAAACAGAGATTTTTCAGGACTACACTCAAAACCAGTGGGTAAGAAAATTTCCCATTTTTACAACAAACAAGCACATGCTTTAATACATTCACAACGCTAAAATAAAAACAGCAAAATGTTTATAATCCCTAATCATAACTTCTGTACAGCAGTCCCACAACATTCTGACACTCGATGACACTGGAATACCCTGTCAGAAAAGTCTAGTGGCTGAGAATGAGCTTTTTACAGTGTCTGCTATAATGTTAATGTTGTTTTTGGTGTGTTTACATTGATGAATATGGCCACGGTGTAAATACACAGTACAGTTACAAGCTTACTACCACATCATATCATTCTGATAACATGATATATGCATTGAGTGATTTCCTGAAGATAAAAAAACAAAAAATAGCACCACTGAAATAACTCCAGCAGATCGTCTGATCTCATATGAAGCAAGAGGTCACGATGACATATGATGAGGTGTGCAGGTGCTGTAGCGCTGTCCCAATTCTCAGGGGTAAGTTTTGAAGCCCTTCACCTTCACACTCTGTTTCAAGGGCCAAGGGGAAGGGGAAGAGTTAGGGGTTCAAAAATAGAATTGGCATTGGTCCTTAGTTTGAATCAGTACTAATTACAGTACAGCAATAAAATGTGGTGCAGGATTTACTTGGATTCTACTTTCACTTTAAAAACTGCTACCAAATGATTTATCCAAAATAGTTACAAAGAAACAGCATCAATGTACTCCGACGTTAATGTTTCTATTTCCACTTTGACCATCATTTGAACAGTCTATTTATTTATAAGCCTTTTAAATTAAACAATATTTACTAATATACAAAAATATTTTTGTATAATTGGGGTGACACGATGGCTTAGTGGTTAGCACTGATGCTTCACAGCAAGAAGGTCAATGGTTCGAGCCCTGGCAGGGTCAGTTGGCATTTCTGTGTGGAGTTTGCATGTTGACCTCTGGATGCTCCGGTTTCCCCCAGAGTCCAAGTACATGCGCTATAGGGGAATTGGGTAAGCTAAATTGTCCGGAGTGTGTGTGTGTGTGTGTGTGTGTGTGTGTGTGTGTGTGTGTGAATGTCCTGGTAATCTAGGTTGGAGGTCGAGTGTTGGGGTAACGGCCCACCTTGTAAAAATTAGATGTTACGAAGCTAACATGAGGGGTGATACAGTGGCGCAGTGGGTAGCACGTTCATCTCACAGCAAGAAGGTTGCTGGGTTGAGCCTCGGCTCAGTTGGCGTTTCTGTGTGGAGTTTGCATGCTCTCCCTGCGTTCGCGTGGGTTTCCTCCGGTTTCCCCCACAGTCCAAACACATGCGGTACAAGTGAATTGGGTGGGCTAAATTTTCCATAGTGTATGAGTGTGTGAATGTGTGTGTGGATGTTTGCCAGAGGTGGGTTGCGGCTGGAAGGGCATCCGCTGCGTAAAAACTTGCTGGATAAGTTGGCGGTTCATTCCGCTGTGGCGACCCCAGATTAATAAAGGGACTAAGCTGACAAGAAAATAAATGAATGAATAAAGCTAACATGATGCGGCTAATTATCAACATTGATATAAACGGCGACTATGTGGGGCTGGGACAGCAAATCTGACATTATTCTCTCTATTCTCAGTCTCTCACTAATTATTTCCTTTTTCTGAAAGTCTTGATAGCACCCTCATGGAGGTTTTCTTTTATTGTTTCAGTAAATAGGATTGTAAAATAATGATATGTTGTTCTCTCCCATTCACTGCGCTCTGAGTCGACCAACTATTTCAACTTGTGAAAAGGCTCCATAAACTTGAACTGAATGTTATAATTAGCATCTAATAAGCCTGATGTAATGTGTTGTAGGCTGAACACAGACCTGTTGAGATCCCAGAGTATGCAGGTTCCGTCCCGACTCACACTGATGAGGATACTGTAGGGTTTACAGACGAACAGACCCGTGACCTCGGCTGTGTGTCCGTACAGATCAACCTGCGACTCCACCTCCATCTCTGTGGGCTGAGGGAAACACAGGAACACACTGTACAATCACACACTTCTTCTGTGTGTAATTGCAGATGTAGAGAGTTGGGGGTTTTGCTAATGGCCTCATTAGGGAACTGATAACATCCTCAATAAGCAGAAGTGAGCTGAAAGGCTGCTTTAACGGATCTGCTTTTATGGCTCAGAGTAAACACACCAGCACATGGCTGCTGCTTGTAGAGCTCAAACTGGTTATTATAGGCAAAAACCCTTGCTTAGTTGTCGACTACTAATTGGCTGATATGTTCGCTGGGCCTACTCAATCGATGTTCATACATTTTCATATTCTCGCCACTGGTGTTTGTTTTAGGTTTAAAATAGGTCATTTATTTGTTTTGGCATCTAGTATGTGATTGATTGGAATTAAACTTCTGCTAGTAATAATAATAGTATATATTACCTGTCTGGTTCAGTTTCTGAAGGAGTCTATTGTGCTCTAGAGTTTGCATTTATTTACACTACCTGACAAAAGTCTTGTGGCCTATCCAAGCTTTAGAAACAACTAATAAAAACTTGACTTCTAGTTCATTTGGTATCAGAAGTGGCTCATATGAAAGGTAAAAGACTCTAGATTTTGCTTATTTGAGCACAATAAAATCTGATCATGTCTTGATGTTGACTGATTTGATTAGGACAGTAAGGTCTGACTCTGCTTAGACTAAAGTGTCATCACTGAACAGAAATAATGTCCAGTATAGAATATAAAGTCCTGCTGCAGTGGAGACAGAATGAATATTGTGTCTGACTCCATCATGAGCTTGGAGGACTGCATCCATACATCTCTGACATGACTCACATCACTGATTAATAAAGTCATCTGGAATGAAGAAGAAAGCGTTCAGCAGGATCCCAGAGTTCATCAAGAGTCTTTGTGTTCATCTTTAATGTCTCCTTCATCTTACCCCAGATATGCTCAATAATGTTTATTTCTGGTGACTGGGCTGGCCAATCCTGGAGCAGCTTGACCTTCTCTGCTTTCAGGAGCTTTGATGTGGAGGCTGAAGTATGAGAAGGAGCTCTATCCTGCTGGAGAATTGTCCCTCTCCTGTGGTTTGTAATGTAATGGGCAGCACAAATGTCTTGATACCTCAGGCTGTTGATGTTGATCATCCACTCTGCAGATCTCTCGCACGCCCCCATACTGAATGTAACCCCAAACCATGATTGTTCGTTCCCCAAATTTGACTGATTTCTGTGAAAATCCTAGCTTCATGTGGGTTCCAGTAGGTGTTCTACAGTATTTGTGATGATTAGGATGCAGAACAACAGATGATTCATAGGAACAATCTACTTTCTGACACTTTCCTAAATGATCAACTAGAAGTCAAGTTATTATTTGCTGCTCTTACAACTGTGATCATTGACAAGACTTTTGTAAGGTAGTGTAGATAAAAACTGTAAGTATATAATAAAAATAAATTAATTTCTTTAACTCAAAGCTGAAAGTCTTCAGTGTCACATGACTCAAATATGATGACCATTGCTGATTATTACTGATGTTATTATGGAGCAGAACAGTTGCTTTGTAGGTTTGTGAAAGTCTGAGGGATTTTCAATGTTAATAATGATCAAAAACGAATTCTTGATCATAACCGCATTAACATTATTTCTGACATTGATGCTTAAAATAATGCTTTAATCACAGGAATAAATGACATTTTACAATTATTTTAATAGAAAATGTCTTATCTATACTGTAAATATATTTCACTAAATTACTAAAGTGCTTCTTTATCCTCGTTTCTAAATCTCTTTGGATAATAGCATATTTGTACAGAATTGAGATTAAATAAATGTAGCCTAGAACATGAGACACTTGTTTAAAAATGCAAAAAGTATAGCAAACATTTGTCTGAGAGTGCATAAATGTAGAATAATATAATATACAGTTAAGGGCAAAATTATTTGTGTAAAATGTATTCTGTTTCAAATATTTCTCAAGGTATAACTAAGAAATTTGTCCAGTATTTCCTATATTTTTCTGCAGGAGAAAGTCTTATTTGTTTTATTTCGGCTAGAATAAAAGCAGTTTTTATTTGGTTTAAACCATTTTTTCAATATTATTAGCCCTCTTAAGCAATATTTGTTTTGGATTGTCTCTAGAACAAATCAGTTACACAATGACTTGCCTAATAACCCTAACTTTACTCTAATTAACCTAGTTAAGCCTTTAAATGTCACTTTAAGCTGAATACTAGTGTCTACTAGTGTCAGTTATTATAAATTAGTTATTAAAACTATTATGATTAGATTTATTTCTTCATTAAACAGAAATTGGGGACAAAATATAAAGAATTCTGACTTTAACTCTATGTAATAAAATAAAACAATATATGTGGAGTACATCAGAAATAGATACACAATGCATCACTCAAACATCACACACAAATGAACATCTACTTTTAGGGACTTTGAAAGAAAGCTGTTCGAAAAGTGCAGCGTGAACATTCTTCCAAACATCTGCTTTTGCAGCTCTTCGAATTTGGAATGAGATGAATGATAACAGAACTCATTTTGGGCTGGATTGATTTCAACATGGAAGAGAAGCAGAAAAGCACCTGCGTTATCAATGAGTGTGTTAAAAAGAGTGTCTGACGCCCAGACTCACCAGCCCACCTGTGGGCTGCAGGAAATGTGTTTCTAGGGCAACCAGGAGATGACTAACAAGGCCACTACAAACACTGAGTGTGTGTGTGTGTGTGTAGGTGCTCTACAGGGAGTGATAATGGACGTGGGCGGGCGCGTGGGTGAGGGAGAAGGGGGGCAGTGTTGCCATGGTTACATACCATGGTGGTGGTGAAGCGGTTGCTGTAGGCGGTAATGACTCCACACTTGCTGCCTGTAAACAGCTGACAACTGTCCGGCACCCAGGCACAACTGCTCACCTGAGGAGACGGAGAGGAGGAAACACACACTAATGAGTGCACATGCTGTCAGGACTCATGCTCTCACTCTAAAATCAAACCTAAAGGGCACCTGAAATGAAAGTCTTTTAGATGTCAGTATCAGTATTGTTAGTTTTAAGCATATCGATAAGCTAGTGCACTCCAAAACGATGACAAAATTAGAAGCTATAAACCTGATATAAACATGTAAAGCTTGTAGTTTGTCACTTCCGCCTAAATGGATCAAGGGTTTATTCATGTCACCACATACTTTAGTTTCTCATCACATCATAACCAATCAAATGCTCTCTAGTGTCTGACATGCCCCGCCCCCTTCAAGACGCTTCTCGCTGGCTGTTCATTTGGTGCACTGCAGCTCAACCACTCTCACTGGCAGAGCTGTGACAAAAACAAAACAAAAAAGGGGAGGAGCTACACTATGTCTTACGCCTGTTTCATATCGCAAGCGAAAGCAGTGCATGAGCATTGTGTGTGCGGTGCGTATGGAGAGCAGAATCAGCACGCAGCCGTTTGCCTTTTACACCAGCTGCGTCTGCAGCGCTCAGCTCTTCGGCAGCTGCTGCACAGCTCAATCTATCTCTGTCTAGTTACCTATCATTCCATATATACAAATACACTTTTTTTTTTTTTTACTTTTCATCTGCACCAAGGCCCGTGGCAACTTCCTACTATATGCCGTTTCCTTAACCTGCAAGTCTTTACTTTACAAATGATATATACCATAGAGATGCGCGGATGGCGGTTACAGCCGCGGAATCCGTGGATAAACCGCGGATCAGGCGGATGACGTGACGAAAAATAATATTTAAATTTAATTCGGGCGGGTGGTGGGCGGTTGTACTGTTTTTGTACACATAGCTGGCGCACTAACGAAAAAGCGTAGAACTGACTTCACAGAATGAGAGGAGGAATTGGGTGCACTAATTCTCGATAAAGTACAGAAATATTCCTTTACAAACTTCCGTATAGACGGATCAGCAGAGGAAAATCTACTTTCCTTTTAGGAGAAACAAGGCAGTCATTCCCACATCTACAGCACCTTGCCAAGAGAATTCTATGCCTTCCAGCAACAAGTGCTGCGAGCGAGCGCTCCTTTAGCGCAGCAGGGCGCATTGAGGCCAGGCGCTCTCGTCTGAATGTTGAAATGATGTGTCAAAATGCGTTTTTTATTAGGCTACAATAATAATAAAAAAAATTGTACAGTACAGAGCATTTAATTTAGGCTATTTATTTATTTTTGTCCCTGTGCGCCAATTGGAGACGGAGTTCACTGCTGATATTCTGAGAGCTTTATAGGGTGCTTCTCATTTCTTATTTGTGTATCCTCGTTTCCTTTCCTTGCTTTCTTTCCTCGTCTTTCCACCCCTATAGGATGCGAGGGAAGGACGCAAGGAAAAGACTCAAGGACCGAGGAATCGAATCAAGTGTAAAGAAAGACACGTCCTCGTATTGTTTAGCGTCACTTCAAAGCGTCAATTAATGCTGGATTTGACTTGCACGTTTGGATTAACTGCATGTCATTAAAGTCATTCTCTATTTTCTAATAATCAATAAAAAAACATTCATTTAATAATAAAAAGGAATAAGCCATTCAAATAAAGAGCTCAGTCAGCAGATGGCGGGCGGTTGCGGTTTTAAAATTTTGTCAAAAATGTTAGTGCGGATGGATGGCGGACGGATGATGAGTTTTGTGATGCGGTTGCGGATGAAATAATAGCCCATCCGCTCATCTCTAATATACCATACAGTACTGTCTCCTTCTCAAGCTTTATGAGGAGTGGCATTCATGTCTGGTGCACTCAGAAGACAATCGCCTGTGACGTCATGTCATTTGGTTTTTGATTGTCAGGATGTTGTAGGCCTAGTTATAATAATATTTATACAATATAGTCATAATGAAATTTATACATGATCAAACTAGTGTTACTTTCTCCGCTTCAGCGATGTCCAGCGGCAGAGTAACAGCTCGTTAATTCATGCTCGTGCAAAGGATGAGACGGACAAAATCCTTCTTTTACTTATTTTCGTGTGGTCAGGTTCACAGTGCAAACAGCTCCCGGGTGGTATAGCTTGAGTGAACATAAAACAAAGCCGAATAAAACGTTCTTCCTCTGCTTCAGCTGCACAGTGAACTCACATCATCCAGCATGCGTTTTCTTCAGTTTTTTTCTTCGAAACATCAACATTTTTAAATTGTGACATTGTTTTCATGACTCAAAACACTCTATAACGTCTTATTTATTGTTATGTAACTGTGACTTAGGAGTAAAAAGTAACCTGTGCATGTTTTGATGGTATACTGTAAGTTTGGTATTTACAGTAGAGGGTGCTGTGGAAGTCTGTGTTTAACAGGATCTGAACTAAGCTTGATCTGAACAGTGTGTGTGTGTGTGTCTGACCTGGTGCAGCGGTGAGCACTGGATGAAGTTGATTGGTGGTTCGCTCTGTTTGCTCTTCAGACGCAGCATGTTGTCGGTGTAACCCCAGCTCAGAATAGCAGACCACTGTATGTCAGTGCTGTGCATGCTCCTCACACCTGAGAGACCAGGACAAAACACATCCACACGTTCATCTT